CCATCGCCGCCACTGCCACTGTCCATGGACATGGATGCGGCGGCGGCGGAGGAGCCGTTACGCGAGGCTTTGCTGACACCCTGGCGGTGGCGGGTGGGTGGGCACGAGAGGCAGGGGAAACTTTAAGAACGATTTGAGAACGCGAAAAGGAACGTGCCTAATCGCTAAGCCGCCAGGATGAAGAGTACAAACATGTCCAAGCTGTCCGTCCACAGCCGTTGGGGGATTGTTGCCTAAACAGGAAACCGGGACACTATCTGACATACGCCCAAAGCCACCCCGTTGACCGACTGAACCCGCAACCAGCTGTCTCGCCATTGCGGCACCGCCCCATGGGTCACGGCCCCACCGCTCCAGGTCCCACGAAGCGTAGCTCCCCCAGTGACCCACATGGGGCAAGCACAGGAACACGGCGACCCAAGCGAACGTACGCTGACCCAGATCGCGTTCGGTCGCGCTGAGCTGTCTTTTCGCATCTGCAACTCGGGGCAACTCGCCCCGAGCTGAGCATGGCTCGCTCCGTAATCCTTCCTTATCTGACCCACGTCATACATGCATACATGCATACATACATACATAAACAAATAACCACAGGCCCGCAGCCGACCCACGATCAATCCACATATCGCACAGGCAGAATTATCTTTCGCGTCTAGCCAGCCCATCCCGCCTATCTCGTCCCCCGGCCCCCATGTCGAGCCCGCTCACTCTCGATGCAGCTGCCACGCCGTTGCCGCTGACGCTGGTCACACCGTTCGTCGCGCCGTTGTTACTCCCCACTTCCGCCGCCATCGCCGCCCCCTTGCCCTCCTGGCGCTGCTGGCTCTGCAGCTTATACGCGTCAATCTGCATGTCTTGTGGGCGGCCCCAATGACAGGTCAGCCGCAACCCGAAGTCGGGACCCAGAATCTGCGGGCAGCACGTGGTTGTACGGCAACGTGTTTATACGGCAAAGGCGCGCGTGTCAACCCCAGCAAGTAGTAACAGGGGAAGAGTGGAGGGATGGATAGTTGACCGTGTGCAATGCAGGGGGAAAGAAATGAAAAACACAGGTCAAGTACGGAACCAGGGCCTCGTACGGGTGCGTGTGTACGGGTGGAAGTGGACCGGCAGAGTGGAGGTAGGGGTGGTCGCATGTGCTGAGGCGCCGGCGGCTAAGCCAACCAATCCTAAACGGGCCTTCAGTCGTACAGCCTCTTCAGTCGTACAGCCAAGTGCCTTCCACCGCAAAGAACAGCCGAGCTGAATTGACCCAGATCCACCCAGAGTTATTCATTCCCCTGAGCACACAGACCCAGTACGGGCGCGCCTCGCTCAGTTTGCATAGTTTGAAGCCCTCAAGGCCAAATAGCATCTTGGCCGACTCAAACGACGACCCAAACGTGATGTAAATACCGCTGCAGGAGTCCCCATGCAAGCATGTGTGCAGGCGTGGGAGGTAAAGGACGCCCGCACGATGGGAAGGGGTTCATGCTGTCGCGATGCCTCCGAAGGCCAGCGGTGAATAAGCGTCTGCTGCCTTTTGTGACCCGTTGCATGCATACTGCAAGATTTCCTTTATTGTGGTGGGAACTCATGAGCTGGGAACCTTGGAAAAGGCTGGTTTAATGCTGGCTGATCTCGGAGGCATGCCGTAGACCTAACCCAGTTCTACGCGCACGAGTCGCTGGACCCCATCGGCAGGTGGTGCTTTTCTTTCCACTTCTTCACAATCCATGCCCGTCCCCATAGGTTGCATGGGTCAAAGGACCGGGAGGCTTGGCGATTAAAGTGCTCTTCACCTGTGGCTTCAACCATCAGACATGGGGGAAGGTGGCAGATGACAAGACGCACCTTGAACGAGCGATTGTCGCCCGCTTCCCATGTAATTACTCCACTATCGTGCTTTGCTTTGACCACCTGCAAGTCGTAATGAACTTGCGCCTTTAGCGTTGACCCAACCAATCAAATGCCGACAGTGGGGCAAATGGCAATGGAGCCCACGGAATGGGCAGTGGCAAACCCTGAGTCGCACCTTGAAGTCGACATCCGCACCGACAGGTACCAGCGTTTCCGTTTTCCAAACGTTGCCGTCGTTCCATGACATTTCTGCGCCTTTTGAAGGGTCCCAGCCACCCAGAAAGGGTTGATTTCCCACCAAGCGGAGGGACTCTCCAAACTCCACCTGACAGAGGTTTCGGCAGTTTGCGAAAAGTAAACACTTCCGGGAATTAACGCTTCCGGCGGCGGCATGCAGCTAACCCAGCATTCCTCCGCACAACTATCAACGTAGATTACCTTGCATTGTATCGATATCGTCACCGGAACTGAATTAACAGACGCCTGCAGCGTGCGTACCGTTTGGAGTCAAAAGGGACAGCCAACCCCTGCAGGGAAAAGTGGCACGTACCCAGACAGCCGCAGACTGTGCACGCGAGAATGATGGCCTCAATCCGCCTGCAAGACTCTTCAGTGCCTGACAACGACGCCCTGACACAGCGCACTGCGGCCCCCGGGCCCTAAACGTGCGCATTTTATACCTCTGATAATCTAATTACCTGCTACAGTCCTAACAGAAGAAATTAGGTATTATGCAAGCCTTCCTGTGCAAGCAGGTATGTTTCGACAAGTATCCTACCGATAAAAAAATCCGGAAGACCTGGCCCGCAGAGAACAGCAACAAAGGCACTCCTTATATACAACAAATGTTATGTATATATTGGCTACCTGGAACAATACCCGTATGCTTCAAATTAGGCAGCATGGTGTCTTGGCTGTTTCTATAGGTGTTGCAGGAGGAGGACGATGGCACCATAGCATAAGACGGCCTCCTGTGGTAACAATTCATACACCGTAATACTTACCTGTCTGCACAATGTGGATTTGTTCAACTGCTTCTTGACTTCTCGGTGTTGCGTTGCTTTACCTCGCAAATGGCTTGTCTGAATTCAGCACGGCATCTGAGTTCACAATGGACGCCGAGAAATGTATAATTAGGTCCCCTAGTATGCTCAACCTTTTGTAATGGAATCCACAAAGTGGCATGCATGGCCTCTTACCTCTGGCCTGGGGTCCCGACGTTTGGCGGACTCTCCACGCCGTTGCGCGCTTCGGCAAAGTCATGTGCCATCCATCCTCGCCAAACTCCATCAAGGGAACGGCCCCGAACGGTCGGGACCCGGTGACCAGCCGCCCACCGTCCCATCCACATCCATCTCTGGATTGCCGCCCATCCCTCCAGTGCCACGCGTAGGGACGTGCGTACAGGTGAGTCGCAACACACCCACTGTTCTAACTATCTAACCGCTGATAAGTACCTTGCATGCCTTGCCTTCACCCGGCCGCTTTCACCACCCCACACAAACCGCGATTTTCTCCGGCGTCTCTGGCGCCGGCACCGGCCGGGTCAGAGGGTATGGGAGACGACATCCCCGCCCGCAACCCCCCTGCCAACCCCCTTCTCCACCCAACTTCCGGATCCGTTTTCACAGCACCCGTAACCCACATCCCCTACCACAGACACCTCTTGCGCTCTGATACAGGCGCTGCCCAAGACGAGCCCCCCCCAAACCGCCTCAGGTCGACCCCTTTCCCCCGGGGCCCCCTCACCCTCCGGCCCCAGGTGCCCCACCAGACCTTTATCGACATGGGCCACAGCTCGGACCGCTTCTGGACCCTAGCCACACACACACTGGTGCCCCCCACACACCGCAAGGACATGGCCATCCTTCTGGCGTGTCTGGAGAGCGTGTACAGGTAAAGAGGCGGAAGGACTACCTTTGTACCGAGTGTTGCGTGGCGCGTGCGCTGCGCGCGCGCACGCGTGTGTGTGTGTGTGTGTGTGTGTGTGTGTGTGTGTTATGTGTGTACGTGTGTGCATGCGATGGAGAAGTAAGTGATGGCGCCCTTGAACGCTCCGCACTGGGCACACAGGCCCATTCCATCCCCCCAGTTCTCACTACGGGAACCAGCAACCGGTTCCGCCTTCTTCCCATCTGTCCCTGGAGGACATCGTGTTTTACAGGTGTCATATCCCTCATGCCCCTCACGTTCTTCACGTTCATGCCCCTCCCTCACCTCCATGGGCACCCGTCCTTGCGGCCGCCCGCTGCCTTTCGGTCCCTCCCCCCTCCCAGGGCTGAGTATCAGCAGCTAGCTGGGGAGGCCATTACGGCCATTTCCGCTGCCAACAACGCCCACGTGCGCTCAGATGGCTCCGTGACGGAACACCAGATCGAACCCGACGGCGGCCTTTCCAACGCCGCAGCTGCGGCTTCCACCTCTGCCACGTTGGACACGCGAGAGGGCCAACGGCCGCAGCAGCAGCGGGGGGGGGAAAGGGAAAGTAAAGGGGAAGGGGAAGGGGCCCTGCGGGTGGCGGCCGCCGCAGCAGCCGTGATACGGTCGCAAGGCGTGGTGGCGGAGGCTGCGAGCTCGGTGGACGAGGGGGGCGGTGCCGGCGAAGGCGGCGGGCGGGCAGATGATGGGGACTGGGTCGGAGTTGGAGACGGGGACGGAGCTGATGGCCCGGTGCTGTCCGCGGCTGATCTGGACTGGGAGGCGCTTCGTCAGCTGCTGCGGCTGGCGCGGCGAGCAGGGTACCAGCCCCTCACGGTGTGTGTTCATGTGTGTGTTCATGAATGCATGTATGTCTGTATGGATGATGCATGTATGTAATGTATGGATGCATGGATGTGTTTGTAAGAGAGGGAACGATAGAGAGGGTGGGAATGGGGATCCTGCCCTGTTGCCCCTTGCACGGGTGTGACAGCCCTTCCAGCGTTGCGACGTCGCTCGTCACCACACAAGCCGCCGCCAGAATGCCGACTGTCTGCGGACTCGCGCTCTCCCAGGGCCACCGGTAGCGGATGTGTATATTCAGTAGCGGAGTTCCTGACTGCCTCGGGTCATTGCCGGTCTTAGCTTTGCTTTCCTCCCAACTCTTGTGACTTATTGCTTCAGATCCGCGATGTGCGGCTGGCGGATTCTCTCAACACGGACTACCTCAGCCAGCTCTTCATCAAGGGGTCGCCCCTTCGACTGGACGGAGCACTGGTGGAGGTGTGGGGAAGGGGGGGAAATGCACAGGGGACGCACATGTGGAGAAGAAGGCTGCGAAATAACGTCTGCAAACAGGCAGGAAAACGTCCTTGCCTTCTCCGCCTCTCTCCCCCCCCCCCATACACACACATCTTTTTACTTTGCACGGGCAGGGTTGCAGTTGCCCAGTTACCGCTCTGGACTCGCAGGCAGCGGGTGCTTCAGATGACAGTCGACCTGTTTTGCTTTACCCCTTAAAAGCTACATGAGTTTCCCTCCCTCCCTTAGTCGCCCCTAGTCGCCCCGCAAACCAGCTCCGCCACAGCTTATGTCGCACCGGCCCCGCGCTGCGCCCCCTTGGGGCCCCTCTCCAACCCCCCGCGGTGTGCCCTCCCTACCTTGACGCCGGGAGGGGCTCATGAAACCCTTCCTGGCGGCGGTCTCGCCCCACCCTCCTCTCCGTCGCCGCAGGATTTCGTGGACCCCTCCCTGCCTGCGGAGGCTCGTCCGGTGCTGCTGCTACAGCGGGGCTACGGCCGGGAGCTGCAGTCCGGCCGGCTGCTGCTGCAGAAGCTAGACTACCTGCAGACGTTGGCTGTGGGTCAGGCGGGCGGCTGGGCGGGCGGCGCGGCGGCGGTGCTGGCGGCGGTGCTCTTCGGGACCTTTGAAGAGGCCGGCCCCGGCGCGGTGGTGCCGTTCTTCGTAGAGGGTGACACGAGTTCGCCGGAGGTGGTGATGGCGGCAGGGCCAGCGGGCGCGGGACAGGGGCAGAGCGGCAGCAGCAATAGTAGCAGTAGCAGCAGCAGCAGCAGGAGCGCAGGCGGCGTCAGTGGGCTCCGTGAGGGCGGGGCTGGGTCCGGAAGAGGCGGAGGGGTGGGGGCGTCTGGGGAGTGGCGGGAGTGGGCAGCATCAGCAGCCTTGGACGAGGAGGAGAATGGGGAGGAGGATGGCGAGGAGGAGGATGGCGAGGAGGAGGAGGCGGGTGGTGTAATGTCGACCTTTACAGATGAGAGCAGTGCCGAGGAAGGTGTGGGGGCGAGTTACGAAGGTGGTGAGCGCACGGCGGAGGCGGTGGCGGAGGGGGTAACTGGGGCTGGGGTGGAGACTTCAGGGGTGGCGGCGGCGGCGGCGGCTGTGGGAGCGGCCGCAGCGACTGCGGTCAGGCTGCAGGTACAAAAACGGGCGGTGGAGGCGCCGCTCTCGGACGCCGATTATGGCAGCGGGCTACGTGCCAGTGGTTTCTTACCAGGAGCGCACCAGGGCGTTTTGGACTTGCAGCAACAGGAGCAGCAGCAGCAGCAGCAGATGCAGGTCCCCCGGCTGTCAGCGGGGCCGGAGAGCCAGGCAGGCGGTGAAGAGGGCCAACCGCCGCCGCCGGTCTCCCGGCGCCGAAACGAAGATGGGTCGGCGCTTGCGCGGCGGGCCGATGGTTCATCCGGCGGTGGGGATGCAGTTGCGGAATCCTGGGAGGCGGCACCCGGGGGGGGAAACCCCGGTAGGCGGAGTGCATGGGATGGCGGAAGAGGTTCCCGGGGGCCCCCCCCCGCGATCCTCTCAGGCCGGGAGCCAGGCGCAGCTGTAGCCGCCGCGCCACCGGCGGCGGGGACGGCGGCAGCAGTGGCAGCTGCGGGGACGGCAACGGCAGATGCCAGTACAGTTACCGCCGCCTCCGCCGCCTCCGCCGCCGCTGACGGATCCGTGGTGGCGTCAGAGGCTTCGTTGGGAAAAAAGGTGCAGGTTGAGACGAGGCCGCCGGTGGCGGAATTCGCGCAGCCAACCACCATCACCGGCGGTACGATAGTCGACAACGAGTCAGCCGTACAGGTGCTCAGGGCCACCGTTAGCGGCGAGGCGGCTGGGCGCGGCGGTGGAGGTGACCTGAACACTGACCCCAGTGGTTTTCCTCCTGGTCCATTTGACGTCCATAACGGCAGCGGCGGTAGCAGCGATAGGGACCGCATAATAAGCTGTAGCGATACGAACAACGGCAGTAACAAAAGTAACAACAGTAGTAGTAGTAGCAGTAGCACAAGAAGGGAGTACAGTATGGAGGGTGGTATGGGGGTGGATGCGGATATCGCAACGGAGTCCTCAGCAACGCGCCAACACAGGGCGCCAGTGGCACCGGCAGGGCAGTACGGCAAACCCGCTGACGGAGGTGTCGCCTTCAAGCAGGAACCAACTCACGCATCGCCGCTGTTACCACCACAACCACCACCATCTTCTTTGCCCTCGTCATCACCGCCGCCATCGCCGGCTTCACCGCCATTACCCTTTCCCTCAGCAGCATCACCATCACCAGCCGCTTGCCTGGTGCCGAAGGTCGCGGAATCGGAGGCGGCGGTTTCGGAGCCTCAGCCAACGCCGCCACCGTCTCCGAATCCATGGACGGCCGCGTTGTCTAGTAAGCCATACAGCATGAGTGCGGGTCCCGGGTTCGAGTCCCATCTCCTCCAGGGTTGGGCTATTCCTCTCACGGCCAGGCAGTAAACAGACGACACAGCGGCGCATCGATCATCGTCGGGGACGTGGGAAAGGGAGGGGGTTTAGGGGCTCTTGAGCTCTCACCACCGCCGCCACCACCATTGACAGCCGACCACACTCCCCCCGGGCTCACCTGGCCCCCTGGTCCCCTCCGAGCCGCAACTGCGTAACCCCCACCCCCACAACACATTCCCCCACCCCCACCCCCCACCCCACACACACATACCTCCCCAGGCCCCTTACCACGCCACTTGCTTATTTGCTGTCTGCATCATATGACCTCCCCGCGGGCCTTCAGTATGTATGTATGGATGGATGGATGGATAGATGGATGCATGTATGCATATATGTACGTGTTTCTTAGGACCGTTTCTTCGGCGCAATGGAATCCGCTTCACTTCTCCTTCTCCTCCTCCTTCTTCCCCTTAATCCTTGTTTTTTAGCTTTCTCTTGCATAACATGATTACAGTGGTAAAGTAGCCTCCCCCCGGTGGCTCCCACCGTAACGACCCGACCCGACTCCAGGACTGTACTCCGCACTCTCCGACTGGGGCCTGGTGCCCAGAACCGACCTAATCCCGCTGGCCGCCTTCAACTCGCACTTCCCCGTACGGGAGCGCCCCGGCCGCCCGCCGCTGTACATCTGCAAGGTGTCCCTGGGTGACGCACTGGGCGGAGCGGAGTGGCTGCGGGGGGGGTTGCGCGGCCTGCTGGATGGGCTGCTCAGGGAGGTGCAGCTGCAGGTATGCGAGCGTGCGAGCGTGTGTGTACGTGTGTGTGCGTGTGTGTATGCGTGCGTGTGTGTGCGTGTGTGCGTATGTGTATCGTCGATTGCCCCGGGACGGGAAGGGGATGGGAGGCGAGGAGAAAGGGGGCCAGGGGGCGTCCACTACATGGCGGCAAGGATGGTGTTGGGCAAGGGCATGGGCGGATGAGGGTCCAGACACGGCTTTGCGGGGGGGTTGCGGCGGCCAGCGAAGCAGCGCTCGACGTACGCCCCGAGGCCCGCGGCGCACTTCCAGGCCCTCCTGACGTCCCCCCGGCCGCACCTTTCCTCCCCCCCCCCCACTTTTCCCACTGCGCTGCGCAGGAGCCCACATTCCGGGAGGTGATGGTGCTGTACCGCCCCGCACACAGCCGCATGGTGCACACCCTGGAGCCGCCGCCGCCGCCGCCGCCGCCACGGCATCGTTCCGGTGTCACAAACCCGTGGAGCCGCTGGCAAGGCGACGCCGTCGGGTGGCGGCGCAGGCCCCAGCAGACGCGAGAGTACGAGAGCGGCGACGGGTACGGCGACGGTGTCGCCGTGCCGCCAGCGATGGAAGCACTTGGTGGCGACGACGGTGGCGGTGGCGGTCAACGCCTCCGCCGCCTCCGCCGCCTCCGCCGCCGCGCCAACCGCGGCCTGGGTTCCGACTGGCTGCGGCGGCTTTGGGCTGGCTGGCGCGGCGCTGACGAGGAGCCGGCTGTACGGCGGCCACCGATCCAGATTCGGATCTACAGAGACATTCCGGTACGATTGCCGAATGAAAAGGCTGATGTGGGGGCCGAGGGGGCCGCTCAGCCGCCCCCCAGGTGAAAGCGTCTGCGAAGTAAAGCTCCAGAGACAACTTGCAAGGGGCCGTTTGTTTCCAGCTGCGGATTTTCATGTTGTTGTCGTTGTTGCTGTTGTTGTTGCTCTTCTCCTCTTCAAGGGGGTCGCGTTACATGGGGGCCTCAAAGTGCATGGCATGGCATTGTATTGCATTATTGGATCGTGGTGTTGAGAGCTCATGAGCCGCCGACATGACCCCGGCCCAGCTCACGCATGCAGCCGCCTCCTTTCCGTGCATGAAGACTTGCTCACCTAGCTAGGGAGCTAGGGAGTTAGGTAGCTGCAACCTAGAGGATCTTGCACCCTGGCGCGCAGTGGCGGGGAGGCAAGGGGGGCGCAAAGGCTCGCGGCTGCTGACACCCTAACTAATTAATGTGTATTGTCATTTGATGTATTTGTTTGTTTGTTTGTTTGTTTGTTTGTTTGTTTGTTTGTTTGCTTATTCGTTTATTTTGTATTTACTCATTCATTTATTTGCTTATTTATTTATTTATTTATTTATATGTTTTCTACCGGCTACTCCTACGCACCCCTTTCCGCTCGTCACTCTACCTGCTGATCCGTCCCGTCCCGTACAGCTTCCGACTTGGAAGGTCGTACTTCCGGAGAAGCTACTGCAGTTTCGGCCCTTGGACTTGTTGCGTGTGGACCTGTTTGCCTTGGCGGGCTTGGCGGGACTCCTGGCGCAGGTGGGGTGTGGGTATGGGTGCCTGGCTGGCTGCGTGGCTGACTGCGTGGCTGGGTTACAGATAACCCCCGAACCCTCTTTTCCGTCTCTTCCCGCTCGTCCGTGCATTACGGTACGACATCAGGCTCGGTACGACAGCATGCTTGTGGACGTGATTACGTTTGGATCTGCTGCGGTGCTGCTTGTCCGTATCATCTTGGGCTATCAGCGAATGGCGGACAGGTGCGCAGCGGCGGGGAGACGGGACGAAGTACGGGAAGGGACGGGAAGAAAGGGGAGAGAAAAGGGAGGGGAGGCCCGGGCCGAGCCCCCGGGAGCCGGGCACACACTCCCAAAGCGCCCTCCCCGCCCCCTCCATATCACACGGCACCTTAAAGACAATTAAACTCCCACCCCACCCCACCCCACCACGCTAAGCGTAGAGCTAGCCAATTGATTCTTTGTTTTCTACATCATGATAAGACTCCCCCCCTTCCCCAACTTGCTTGACCGTACCCCTGGTCAACACGTTGACTCCATGCAATGAGCCCCTTGAAACACAAAAGACAGTTAAAAATAGTCGTTTTTCCTGACTTACTTTTCCTCTTCCTCCCCTTTTTGGACGACGGTGGCGACCTAATCCTTTGTCTATTCAATCCGTCATGTATACCTTCTTCGCCAATCTTCCCTTCGGACGTTGGGCCCTTGGGATATTCGTGCTTGGCTTCCTCTCTTCCTCCCATGCTGGTACGGGTACGGGTACGGCACGTGTACGGCACCCTGCCCGCCAGGTTTCGATCCGTGGTGAACGAGCTGCTGGCCGAGAAGGCTCTAGCGGGCCAGGAGGGCGCGGTGGAGGCTCTGGCCATGGCGGCCGCGCAGCAGCAGCTCAGGCAGTCGGCACTGGCGTACGTGCTGCTGCTGCACCACTGCAAACCGGGAGGAGGGGGAGGAGGAGGAGGAGGGCAGCAGGAGCTACAGCGGCTACAGCAGCAGCAGGACAGTGAGGAGGAGGAGGAGGAGGAGCAGTCAGAGCGGGCAGCAGCTGCTGCAGCAGGGTGGGCAGCCGGGAGTGCGGAGGCGGGATCGTCCGGGGCCGGCCCCGCCATGGCCACGACCTCGCAGCTGCAGGTACGGCGTGATAGGGCTTGTGTTGCGGTACGGCAGGGAAAGGCAAGGCACAATGAGGCGCAAAGGCGGTAGTGGTGGTGGTGGTGGTGGTGGTGGCGTCGGTTGAACGGAAGACAGTGGTGTTGCAGCTGCTTGTGCGACTCATTGAAATCATAATCCGCAGGTCCGCTGAAGGAAGAGGAGTTGCAGGAGGGCTCGGGAGAGCATTGCTGTTGTACGGGGGGAGCTCAGAGCTGCCGTACACGCACAGCCAACACACACCTCCCTTCCCCCTCTCGTGGACCTTGCTTCCAAATAGACCGCCACCCCACCCCACCCCACCCCACCCCACCCCACCCCACCCCACCCCACCCCACCCCACCCCACCCCACCCCACCCCACCCCACCCCACCCCACCCCACCCCACCCCACCCCACCCCACCCCACCCCACCCCACCCACCGCAACTACCCTGCCGTACAGGAGCTGGCGGAGTGGGCGCTCGCCCACCACAGCGGCGTGCGGGTAGGTGGGGGGCCGGCGTGGCAGTGGGGGTTTGTGATGTGGAGGACTCGCGAGGGGTCTGTCCACCCACTGGGGCGGCCCCTCTTGGGTGGGGGGTATCATCGGGTCTGTCCGCTGCTGCCGATCTTCCTCAGCACCCCCACCCCCACCCCCACCACCGGGCATTCGCGTTAACATTTTGAGATGTTTGGTACGGCCCTGTGCGGCTGAACCGCTCTTCCCCCAACCCACCCCCTCCTGCACGTGCACGTGGCCCTGCCCTCCTCACCCCAACTCGCACTGCAGGTGCGCTTCAACGCCTGCGAGGCACTCCACGAGCTCATGCGGCTGGGCCTGGTGGTGCAAGTGACAAACCAGGAGGGCGTGGACCGCAGCCTGGGCGGCCGTAGCTATGGCGCGGAAAAAAACGGCGGTGGCGGCGGTAGAAGCCGTGACAGCGAGAATGAAGACGTGGGTGACATACTGCCAGGGGGAGGAGGAGGCGTGCGGTGGCGCGACAGTGCCGACGATGCGTTAAATCGCCGTCAGGGCGGCGGCGGTGGCGGCGGCACAGTCGCCACCAGCCCGTACGGCATCCGTACGACAAGGGGTCAACGGGGTTTTGACCTGCCCAGTCCGGAGGAGGAGGACGCGGGTGGTTGCGGCTGTGTCGTGGACGAGGACGAGGACCAGGGTTGGGGTGGGGGGGTCGCCAGGCAGGGCGGATGTGGGGAGGAAGGCGAAGGCATGGCAGTAGCCCTGGGTGCGGGTCCGCCGCGCATGGGTGGTGGCAGCAGCAGCAGCAGCAGCAGTAGCAGCAGCAGTAGCAGCAGCAGTAGCAGCAGCAGTAGCAGCAGCAGTAGCAGCAGCAGTAGCAGTAGCAGTAGCAGTAGCAGCAGCCGGAGATATGGCTCCGTTGACGGGGCTCCTCCGGGTGGTCGTGAGCTCAGGCCCCAGGGGGCCTCAGGCCCCGCTCCGGAACCGGTGGGTACCCGGGCGGTTCCCGCCGCAGGCTGGGAGCTGTGGGCAGATGGTCGTACACCAGCTCGGGGTCCGGTGGCCGTGGATCCTTTCCGGATCCAGAAGACTGCGGTCTTGGGCGGCCCTGCGGACGGCGGCGACAGCATGACTGGAGCGGTAAGCAGCACCAAGGCCCGAAGCAGTAGCAGTAGCAGCGGCAGCAGTAGCAGCAGTAGCAGCATCCAAGTGCCCAGCTGGGGTGGTGTAGCTAGCCAGCCAGTAGGAAATCGCGTCGCAGATGACAGGAGGAACGGCGGCGGCGGCGGCAGTGGCGGCAGAGGCGGCGGCAGTGATGATGGATCAGGTGGCTGCGGCGGCGGCGGCGGCGGCTGTAATCGCAGCGGTGAGGATCCGTACTCGGATTGTGACGGCTCAAATGGCGGCTGCAGCCGCTGTACGGATATGTGGTGGGCGGTGGTGCCGCTACGTGATGCTGTGCCCGTGGTTGAGGACCACTGGGGGGGGCTGTTGTGGCGGCGGGTGGGGGCCATCCTGCGGCGCCGCGACGGGCTGTAGCGCCGCAGCTGGGTGGGGAAACTGCCTTTCCGACAGGAGCGGCAGCAGCAGCAGCCTTTCGCACATCAGAGCTCACCACATCAGGCTGCTGTTGTTGTTGCTGCTGTTGCCCTCGTGTATGCCATCGTGTATGTGTGTGGGGAAGAACTGGGCTGGTGGTGATGGTGTTGAAGTGGTGGTGATGGTGGTGATGGTGGTGATGGTGTTGAAGTGGTGGTGAAGTGGTGATGGTGGTGATGGTGGTGATGGTGGTGATGGTGGTGAAGTGGTGGTGAAGTGGTGGTGAAGTGGTGACTGGTGATGGTGAATGTGTCTGGCAGCAGCAGTGGTGATGGTGGTGGTGGGTCGGCGGGTCGGTGTGCATGCAGGCTGGCAGGGCGTGCTCTTACATAGTAGGCAGGCTAGTGGGTGCGTCCTTGTATCAATTGGATGCGCGGCTCCGTATGTACATATGTACATATATACATATATACATATGCATTTCTTTGGCTGAATCAGTTAGTTACATAGGCAGTTGTGTAGGTAATTAGGTAGGTGGGTTGTTAGGCAGTTAGGTCGTTAGGTAGGTGGTAGTTAGGTAGACATCCTGGGTGGAGGGTAGCCGTCAGGCCCAGTGCTCTGAGTGCGGCTACTGGCTATTAGCTGAAGCGGGGGGCCTCCTCGGGCTGTGTGCTGGGTGTGGTGTGCTGGGTGTGGTGTGGCGGTCGGAAGGTACTGTATGTAATGCGGGGCAGAGCACATGCATATGGGGGGAAAGAGGAGGAGGAGGAGGAGGCTGGGGATTGCTGTTTGCCCAGATCGTTCTATCAGTCGCTGGCCCCGGCCCTGGTCGCTGAGCGCGGGAGGGTAGGTGAGCGGGGCGGACGAAGGATTATTAAAGTTTGCAAGGGGGATGCGTGGAGGGTTTCTGTAGGCGGGGGGGAACTGTCGTACACGGGCCAAACAAAACCCCAACATTGCTTTCGGATTCCAGACTCCCGTAGCCCCCCGTTCATGCTTCATGTTGTTCTTGTGCCTCGTGCTCTTCACCTGGGCCCTTGTACGGTGCTGTCGTACAGCACACAAGATTGGAAGCTTAGATGGGTGGGGGTGGGGGGTAGGGGTGGGGAAGCCGGCTTCACCTCCAAAGGGGAGCTCATGCTTATGCAAGAAGCATCCATATCTGCATATCCATCAGCCTGAACGAGAAATTAAGAGAGTGTGATTATTTTGCCGCCTCGTCTTTTGGCTTACCAACCAAAGTTCGGGAGGTGCGTATTCGGCGGGAAGCACTGGATATGGGTTTTTATTGATGCTGTACCTGTGCGCCGAGGCAAGTTCTTCAGTGCCGCGTCACCGCTGAACGACGGCTGCAGATAGTTTGTCGGATCTCCCAGAGTTCAAATCTGTGATTTGGATTTATTAGATTTACAATACATATGTCAATCTTATGATGATTTAGATCTTTATGATTTAGGTATGGCAGAAGGTAAGCAAAATCGCTTTGCGGTTGGAAGTTTTAACCTGCGGTTAAAGGCGGTTAGCTCGTCTTGCATGGGTATGTACACCCGTACGGTGCCCCTGCCGGCTAAACGTCGTGTGCTTCCATGGTTGCGCAGCTATGCAAATTGTAACACAGCAAAGGCGTAATTCTGGATGCTCACATAGCCCTGGCATCGTTACATTGGCCCACTAACTGTTATCATAAGCCACATTTTCCATTGCTTGATTGCTTCTTTTATCATAATACCAAACATTCGACTTGAATCATCGGTAAAATATTACACCATTTGATTTGAACGTGGGCTTGACATGGACTGAAATGGCCGTTGAAGATAACCGCCTCAACCGCTTCTTTGCTTGCGTTGCACTTGCGCTAACGCTGGTAAGGATAAGCCAACTAACTAGAAAACCTAGCACCAGCCCCTAACTATATTGTCTCAAGAGGAATCTTCGACTGCGATGATTTCGCCGTGTTTCTCGCGCCGGCGACAGGCATCGTACACGCACAGCTTCCACATGTACAGCAGCCCCTACTTTTGTTTTAGCTTCTCAGTTATCTTAAAAATCCACGCTAAATGGCTTATGGAAGCCGGCCCTATGGATCCAGTCCGGGCCGGTCAATTTGGGGTCCACAAAGAGCCAATTCGCCATAAAAGTTTGCCTTTGTAATCTACATAAGTAGATGAATTACATGTTCATCTGACTCTGTAACGCCTTCTACCCAACCAACCAACGCTTGCTTGCATTTGGGTCACCCTCTGGGGGCCACCGCTCCATCGGCGTCAAAGTCGCCATCGACAGCCTTACGCTAAGGATCTCAACACTTGCGCCTCCGCACCTCCGCGCCTTGAGGTCATGGCTTGCCATCGCGTCTCCTCACCATCCCTTGGCACGAACCAGCTTGGCAATCTGAGCGGCCCTCGGCTAGACACGCTCCGTGCTGCCAAGCTGTGCTTTGATGTGCTCCCAGCACTAGCACGGCGTCCTCCCTGGAGTCATCTGACTGTGGCCTTATCAGCTTCAGAGTCAAAGGCCCGCAGCCGCCAGCCCAGCAGCCATGTCAGTTCGCCGCCTGAACACAGCGACCAACCACCGGCACCCTCCGAAACCACCAGCCTTCTGGCTCCACGGACAAGCCGAATCCGCCGTACACGGCCTGCCGCAAATGCCGCCTCCGATGCCGCCTCAACCCCCGCGCGCGCCAGAGGCGACACAACCAGCGGGGTTCCCGGCCGCCGCGGCAGGGAGCCGGAGGGGCGAGGCAGCGCCAACACCCAGGACCAACAAAACCGGGCTAGGGGCAGCGAGGAGGCGGCGGTATCTGGTTCCTTAGGAGTGTCTACGCCGGGGCGGAGCCGCCGCCACGATACGGCTATGGCTAATGCAAGCGGCTGCAAGCTGCCGCCGCCGCCGCCGCTACCGCCACCGCGGCCGTCCTCTGTCCTGCGTAGTGTTCCAGGAGCTGGGAGGCGGGATGGAGGGGTGGCGGCGGCGGTGAGGCGGCGGAGCCGCAGCATTCCTGCAGCCTCCGACAGCGATGGCAGCAGCGGCAGCAGCGGCAGCAGCACTCCTCATCGGGCGATGTTGTCCTGGCGGACCAAGTACGTGCCGGGGGAGCTGGCGGGCGACCTGCTCACCTTCGCCGCCAGCGTACGACAGGAGGCCGCTGGCTGGCACCCGCTGCAAATCAGCGCCGCTCTCAACCACACCGTCAAGGTGTGTGTCGACGTCAGCTGTCAAGGGGGGATTTGCAAAGGGGTCACCATCATACAAACAAACCGACAGACGAACAATGGAACAATGGACAAACCAATCGAAAACATACATATACGGCAGGCGGCTGGCAGAGGTTAAGGCCTGACTTCTGCTCCCAGTTGACCCAGTCGACCCGGGTTCAAATCCGCCTGCCGGCTCCTCGGGTGTTTGAGGAGTGATGAAATGGGAGGTGGCCCCCCATCTTATGGACGGTGTAGGACGTGATAATATCAACTTGCGAGCTGACCAGGAACTAAGTTGATGCGCCGTTGATCCGCTAGATTTGGTTGGATGCTGGTGGTGAGTTGCCGAACTCAACGAATACATTCTGAAGTCGGATGGGGTGACGGATTAGGGTGCCCCTCTAGCAGGGGAGAGCAGGGACTGCCCCGGGAAAGGGGGCCGCTGGCGAAGTTAACCACCCTGTAACAACATACATACATACATATTCAGGACGGTCAGCAGCTACGGGACCCTGGCTGCTGCCCGCTTTGCTGTTGGACACGCAGGAACCCCGTTCTGTCCCACAACGCTCCCCGCCTGGACCCATTTGTACTTGCCCCATGCTGCCGTACTTTGCCGTACCCTATCTTCTTCTTCTTCTGAAAGTTTGTGGACTCGGAGATCCCCTCCCGCAGCTCTGCTCCGCTCCGCTCCTCTGTTCTCCTGGCCCGTTTTTATCCCCCCGACTACGGGCAGTAGTACCTGATCGAGCGCCCCCTCCCACTCCACCCCACGGGCTGGGCTGCTCCCCCTCGCGCCATTATGGAGCGACAAACCTCCGCGCATGGGTGCCGTACCGCCGTGCTGACGTGGACACTTGCATCTCACGTAAGGATTTTAGCTGAAGAACGCGCTCGGCAAACAGCGCGGCAAACACATCCACCGCGAGGGCAGCACCGGCGGCGGCAGCGGCGGCGGTGAGGGACGGGCGAGGGACTGGGATGCAGCGGCGGCGGCGGCGACGATGAAGACTGTACGGGAAGTCCTGAACAACCTGTACGGCGCACTGATGCCACACATTCCGTCCATTTCCTATGCGCGTTACGCCGTAAACCCCCTGTGGGTTTGTGCCAAGACTGGCTACTGGGGCGCCGAGGGCAGCGGCTTCATGGAGGGCCTGCTACAGCGGCTGCGGGGGGACGGCTACCAGCTACTGCAACAGCCTAACGGTCAGACACATGGTATCCTTTGGTGGGCGTTATCGGAGTACGACCAACAACAAAAGGAACAGCAACGACAACCGTTGTACGAGCAGCAACAGCAGCAGCAACAGCCCCAGCTGCTGCAGCTGCAACAGAAGGATAGGTCTGTGGGGCAGGCAGGGGCCGGCGACGGATCGTCAAGACTCGACGAGGGGGTGGCGGCGGTGCAGCCGGCAGGCCTGGACCTGTTGCGTGTCTCTGTTTCGGTGCTTCAGCGACATGAGAGGCTGGATCCTGAATCCTTCACGCCCCAGGTGTGTGTGTGTACATGTGTATGCGTGTGCGTGTGCGGGGGGGAAATGTTGAGGGCGCTGGGGGTTGGCTCACTCGTGTCTTTTATGTCCCCTGCGTTGTGTCGTACCCTTCTGTGGCACATCCTCCTCCGACATCATTTGTCGGCCAGACGTCTTTCTCAGATGTATGTATGTATGTGTGTCTGTATGTCTGTATGTATGTTTATACACTGACAGAGCCTCTGCAACATCTTCTTGGCGGCGGCGCGGCTCAAGTACGACAATGATCCGGACTTCATTGTGCACCTTGTGGAGAACTTGGTCGCGCACCCCGGACCGCTCCAACCGCAGGTGTGCATGTATGTATGTATGTATGTATGTATGTATGTGCGTTTAGGACGGGGGAGATCGGGGTAAATGTTATTGCAGTACCATGTACGAATTAGCTCTACATGGCTGCAGGCGGGTGGGGGATGCAGATGGGCAAGGAACCTCCTGGCGGGGGAAATCTCCGGGGGAGTACGGCAACATTCCACCGCGGTACTCCTACCTGTACGGCCTTTTTGGAAAGTTGTAGCAGATGTGCAAGGGTTCGCCAAGAAAGGAATGGATGGATGCGCTAGGGCTGGGTTGACTAGTTTGGGCTTGAGAAATGCGGTTACGTGCAGGGGCTATAATGTACGACATCTGTACGACGGCAACCACATCACCACCGTCAACCTCCGCTTGCAGGACATCTCCAATACCGTCTACGCGCTGGGGGAACTGTACGGAACTGAAGGCGACGCGGACGTGGTAGATGTGGGTGTGGGTGTGGACGACGATGATGGTGGGTGCAACACGGCAACGGTTCCGCTGCTGCCCCCAGATCCCACAGAGGGCCCGGACCGCGGTAAAGCCAGGCGGGGGAGCGTCTGCACGGCCGCGGGGCTTGCGGGCCAATGGAACAGCAGCGGCAGCAGCAGCAGTAGCAGCAGTGGTGGTGGTGCTGCTGCTGCTGGCGAAAGCACACCTGCTGCTGAAGAAGAAGAAGTACCCGGGCGCGGGTTGCCAGCTGTGTTATTGGGTCATGTGCGGTCGCTGGCGTGTCGGGCGCTGCTGGTCGGACTGGACCGCTTCAACCCGCAGGTGGGTTCGCATGCTGTCGTGCATCCTGATATGGGCTTGCGGACGAACGGCGAACGGGTGCTGGTGCTGGTGGGGGGTGTGACAGCAGCAGCAGCAGTAGCAGTAGCAAGTACAATGCCTGCTCAAGTAGTAGTGTTTTCCACTGGACTCGGCTTTGCAACCCGACCACGCACCAGTTCCCGCCATTGCTCCCCATTCCCGCCATAAACCACTGCGGGCGCACCGCACCGCACTCCGCTGCAGGCCCTCACCAACACACTGTACGGCCTAGCCCGCCTGAGTCCCCGACTGATGACGGACCGCAGCGGCGGCGACCCGGAGGATAAGGATGGGGATGAGGATGATGACGACCACATCCAGCAGCGGGTGGTTCAGAAGCGGTACCACCACCACCAGCGGCAGCAACAGTCCGCAGCCAGGGGTGCGACGCCGGCCTTCTCCGCCTCCACTCGCAGCGCTCGCCACCCCCAGGGGCCGCTCCCACCTTCCGACGGCGGTTTGCCTGAGGACCCGGAGACCGCGTGGCGGCTGTTCGTGGTCCAGTTGGGGGATCACGTCCGGGAGCGGCTCCAGGTGGGTCGGTGGGGGTAACCTGGGGCGGTGGGTTGGGGGGCTTAGTTGTGTGTGTATGTGTGTGTATGGGGGGGGCGGGAAGGGGGTTTAGGGTTACATATATACAGCAGGCGGCGACTGAAGGGACGTTTGGGTGCGTGGTGGAGGGGATGATGGCGGCTGGTTGGGCTCAGGGGAAGGGGAGGGGTTGTTGAGGGGGCCGTGTTGAGCTGGGTTGGACACGCTCCACAGCAGGGCGTGTGTGCGTCCGCGAGTGAGTGGGTGCGGTTCGATTCTCACAGCAAACGATTTTTCGCGGTGCTGTTTGGAGTACTTGGGGTACAGCCGGTACTCGCTGATGAGACGTGTCCCTCCCCTCTTAAGGAGACGGAACTGAGTTTCCCCCACCCCGCCTCTCTCCCGTGGCCTCTCTCCCAACCATAATACCTTGCCACCACCACCACCACCACCACCACCACCACCACAACCACCACGACGTCCCCGCACGCGCGGGCTCGTTTCTTTCTTAAATACTCTGCACAACTGCGGGTGATGCTTGGTGCCCTTGCATCTGGCATCATCCGAGTTACGATCACCATCATTCCGCGATGATGATGATGATGATGATGTCGTCCGGTCCTTTCCCCCTTCTGGTGCCCTTCTCAACCCGCCGATGCGATTGTACGGCAGTACGAACCCAGGACTTTCAACGCGCAGGACCTAGGAAACGCCACGTGGGCCCTCGCCCACCTCGGGTACGACGACCAGTCGTACTACACGGTTGCCGTACAGGCTGTGCTCCAGGGCAGCTGCATGGAATCTGCCACACCGCAGGTCCGTAAGCATCAGTGCCCCTCTTAGCGGCCATGCAGTGCACAACAGGCAGATCGTTGGCGGCTGGGGCTGGGGATGGGGATGGCGATGGTGATGGTAAAAGGGTACATGATCCAAATACACATACACACACACTCTCTATCACACACACATTTAAGGCAAGACTACGTTTATCCTGACGTTTTGGTACAGGAGGTTGTGCCGTACCCCGCAAAGTAGAGCCGTACGTGCGGTGGTGTCCCTGCTGAAAGGTCCGAGGAGATCCTGGCCCGCTATAACCGTTCCAGCAATCTAGGCTGCTGAGAGAACTGGCGGTACTCGGCCGGGTGCCAGACCGCCGCCAGCAGACCGCGCACCCCCTGCCCGCCTTCTTAGGCCTGTCCACACCGTACGGCACCACATGAATGACACCCCCATTGTTGTACAGTGTTTGTACAGTACACTCCATGCAAATCCTCTCACACATGTACACAATTTACACACATACATACATACATACACATACCGACTTGCGAGCTGACCAGGAACTAAGTTGATGCGCCGTTGATCCGCTAGATTTGGTTGGATGCTGGTGGTGAGTTGCCGAACCCAACGAATACATCCTGAAGTCGGATGGGGTGAATGGATTAGGGTGCCCCTCTCGCAGGGGAGAGCAGGGAGCTGCCTCGGGAAAGGGGGCCGCTGGCGACGTTAACCACCCTGTAACAACATACACACGCACACACACGCGGATGCGGCCCACACTTCACCCGCCAAATGCAGAACTGGGCGATGTTCTTGTGGGCGCTCGTAGAGGTGGGGCATAAGGCCCCGAGGGAGCTCACCCAGGCGCTGAGGCGCAGTATCTGCGGAGCTGGCGGCAGCGCCACTAACGCAGGGGGGGTTGGTGGCGGCGGCGGCGCTTCCTTGGGCACCTTGCGGCCGCCTTCGGGGCGTCCTTCTCCGCAGCCCTGTCGGTGGTACGGGGACTTACGTGCCTGGAGCAGCTTACCGTGGCTGCTGGCGTGTTTGGGTATGTACGACACGGCCGTGATGGACTGGATTGCTTGGGCGGCGGGTACGACATCATGTCGTGGATTGAAGCCGCACTGGCTGTCCCGGAGCTTGTGGGGCATGGCGGTTCTACCGGGGGCGGCTTTGGTACGACACGGGGATCTGGCGGCGGCGCTGGTGGCGGCGGTGAACCAGGTGGAGGTGCAGCGGTTCAAAGAGCAGTGAGCAGCGTGATGGGCTGGGGGTTTTGGGGGGGGAAGGGGAGGGTTTTGTGTGTTCTTAGCGTTTTGTGGAGTTCTGTGTTCATTAGATAGGAAGCTGGACGAGGCAACAACGGAGTGTTCCCCCCCGGGGGGTTCGAGTTTAACGGGGAAGGGGAGGGGAGGAGGGGGGGGGAAAGGGAGGGTGTTTTTTGCGGGGTTATACTACCCGGGAAGGTATGGGTAGCTATGTGGGGAGCTGACCGACTGCTGACTTGGTCCTCTTGGAGGTCAAGTGCAGCTACAACAGGCGCAGTAGCAGCGACGGGACGTTGGCCCGGTTTGCTGTGTCGTTGGCTCCCCAGGGGCCGATGTCTCCCTCTGAAGGGTCGGGGCATATGGGTTGCACACACACACACACATACACACGCACGCACATGGAAATGGATGTTGTGCGATACCGAGTCACCATCTTGGAGCCCAATCCCAACCAAGATACCCCAAGAGTGTCTGTGCGGGTTTGAAGGACGTCTTGTGGGGCGCTCACCTAGTCTCCTCTCCCCAGCTGTGCCGGCTACCCCTTCACCCCGTCCCGCGCACACCACTGCTACTTCTACTGCTACTGCTACTACGCCCCCTTCTGCAGGGAGCTGGTCCAGCTGTGGCAGACCCATTTGGAACTCAGCTGGGCTGCAGCACACTCGCCGTCTCCGGCTGGTGGTTTGCAGCGCCTGGCACGGGAAGATGAGTTGAGTTTCGGAGGGGCGGAGGCCTCTGCGCCGGGGCCGCAGTCGCCGTGTCAGCTGCAGCTGCGACCCGACCTGGTCGTTGCAGGGCGGCGGGTAACGGTGGCTATCACCGCCCAGATCGCGTCCAAGCCAGTGACCGCCTTTCAGCGGGCGGTCTACGACTGCATATGCAGTCTACAACACCCCAGGACAGCGGCCCCTGCTGCCGTACTGGTTGACTCGTCGACGGAGGACAGCGGTGACAACGATAGCAACGATGGTTGTGACGGCGGCAGTAGCGGCGGCAGCGTTCGCATTTTGCGTGTAGAGCAGGAATGGTTTGTTGAGCCTCTGGCGCTTTGTGTGGATGTGTGCGTGTGGCTGAGCGACGGGCGGGTGGTGGCAGTGGAGGCGGATGGGCCACAGCACTTCTTCGCCAATCAGACGCGCAGCCGGCGGCCCCGCACGATGCTGCGGGATCGACAGCTGCTGCGGGTGTTCGGGCGGGACAACGTCAAGTGTGTGCCCCTCTGGGAGTGGGACTCAATCAGCGTGACCGCGAGGAGGGCGTACCTGGCACGGCTGCTAGGGCTATGAGGTCCCTTGGATTACATCCCCTCTTCAACCAGATGTAGCTTTATCCAAGCTACCGGTTTTCGCGTTGCCTGCTTTTCCTTCTTGCTGCACAAATCATTACATGGTAGAGATCCCATGTACTGATTCCAAGACAGAGACGATTGTCGGTTCCAATCAATTTACGCATCACCCCACCCCACACGTTTGTGGCCGGTGGCCGAAGGCAGCCGGCACGTAGGTGTCTGAAACCGGACGGCACATAACGGACTGTTACTTACCAAAGACACGCACACCTCTGCACAGTCTTACTAAGACTGTGCAGAGGTCATAGTAGTACTAAGGGGTGATCCCTCTTCCGTTGGAAAAGGTATGAAGGTGACTGACAGTTAGCATGTGGGGGGGGAATCAGGGGGTCGTCCCTATCGCTATGGTCGTGGAAGCAGAACTGGGACTCAAGGATTTCCCAGGGGAGGGACAAACAGCCAAGGTTCAGTTCACACAGATTAATGCAAAGGTGTCGGTTTCAAGTTGAAGGTTGACTTCGACCCCGAGCGCTTTGCAATGCGAATGCGAAGGTCATCTTTCGTGTTTGCAGATCTTTTCGAGCACAAGGTCCGCTTCGCTGCGCGCGCTATACTGCTCTGCAGGATCTCACCGAAGAGCCCACAGAACTTGGATGCTTTCCGTTGTGGAGGGTTCAATACCAAGCCAGACAGCTGCAGCTTGCAGAAACCACGCGATTTGAACAAAAATGAAAAACGACTTTTGCACAGAAAAGTGTTCGGAATTGGAATCAGCATTCATCAGCGTTCAACTCGGAACCGACATTTTTGCATTGGCCTATATAATTAATGGTCGGTGAAGGACCTGGGCTGTAAGGAACAGTAGTGGCGAGCCCAGGTCTCACCGGGGCCGTGCGCTGTTGCAGCATACTGGCGGTTGCAGGGGCCTTCACACCGTCAAGACGTGACGTAGCGAGACATACAGACGAAACAGAACAACGCTGCAACCGCTTGCCTTCCTCGAGTAATCGAGCTTTTCTTGATGCCCACTGGCCCCCGAGGGCATACCCAGCCATCATGGCCGAGCCATGACCGAGCGAATGGGCGGGAAAGAGGGAACCGACATATTCATTGCAAAGGAGGAACTGGTGAAGGATGCTAAGTCAAAAGAGTTATGTACAGCAGGCAGAAGCAATGCAGTACAAATGCACGCATCGACACTTGTGGCGGCGACATGTAAAGGCCCGATTAATGTTTGGATATTTAGATACTTTTGAGGGCGGGGTCTGCTTGCATATTAAGCGAAGCGGTGTGGCTCGCTTTTGAGGAATGAGGATTGATGAGCTCGCTTTTTGCAAGGGCACATATATATTGGGTCTCGTGTGCCTAATTTGCATGGGCCGCTCAGCAGGTTTATCAATATATCGTGTATTGGCTCATATGACCTGCCCACCACATGTCCATTCTTTTTGGCCACCGTACCCATGATCGAATCCTGATGCTGTCTAATAATTTTTATTTCGGAGGAGAAGCAAGCATTTTCCCCCAAAACGTCCTATATTCTATTATTTGATTATAGCCGCACGTGCAATTAAACTTCCGTGGTTGCAGTTGGTGAAGGCCGGACAAGGAGCAGAAACTCATGGTTGCAATAACCAGCAGACACTCATTACGTTACCGTGTTGCAATCACGACGGAGCCAAACGAGTTACGCACTACGGAGGGTCCTGGACGTGACAACACTGACGTTATTACATCCCTTACGTGCCTTTTGCTTACAGCTTCCGGCAAAGATGGCACGACGGCCATGGCCGGACTTCAACTGCGACTATAGCTTCCGAGGGCAAGGGCACCAACTCATTAATTTGTCAGAGACAACGGTTGGTTCGCCTGCATGAAGAGGCCGCTGAAGTTGAAGTCGAAGCTGCTGCAGAGTTTAACATGGCGGCGAAAGCGGCCGTGAAGGGGCAGCTGATGCAAGGGATGGCCCCGGCGCAGCAGGTGGCAGCCAGGGGGGTTGCACACAAGGGCCCATGCCACCGCTGGGGTAACATGGGCCATTTCGTGAAGGAGTGCACAAACCCGCCAAAGTAAGCCAAGCATGCGGCAAGGCAGTAAGAGTCGACAGCTCGTGCTGCAGTACTAGTGGTAGCTTTTTGGGGGATTCTGACTCTCCCCTCGAGATTATTGGAGTTTCACGGTAGCTGGCCTCCACCCAGCCTGCCTACCGAAGGAAGACTAATTTCGTTGCTTGCAGATATACCGTTTGTAACGTACAATGATCCCCTTACTACACCCTATATATTTAGTAATGTACGTACTGAACATGGGCCGGATAAGTAGGTTTATCTGAACATGAGCCCTTAAACCCACCTGCTCCCCATATGCCCATACTTTTGGCCTCCGAATCCAGGAGGCCATAACACATGATCAAACCCTGATGGTGTCCATAAACTTTTACCTTCGGATGCTTCATGCTGCAAGGAGAGGCAAGCATTTTTCCCAAAAAAATTATTTTCGGGGATTTTCTTTATTCTCTTATCTATTTATAGCCGCACGTGGATTTAAAATTCGTTGAATAAGACTTCGAAGACCGGACATGAAGCACAAACTCATGGCAGAGGGGTGCAAAGTGGTCCTAATCCTCTAATCCAGGGGGTGGGTACTGGTCAGCAATCCTCTAATCTCAACAGGGGTGGACCACTTCTAATCCCGAATCCAGAGTGGTGGTCTAATCCATATCCTAGGGTCGGGGTTCTAATCCTAATCCTGTGGCCGGGTCCCAATCCCAATCCTGGGGGGGGTCCCAATCCTAATCCTGGGGCCGGACCGCAATCCTAACTCTGAGGCTGGGGTCCCAATCCTAATCCTCTTGGTCGTGTCGTAATCCTTATCGTGGAGCTGTTATCGTGTGACTGATTCGGTAAAACGTTAATTTTGGCTGGGGGGCCCAATCCTAATAGAAGGGTGCCTTGACACGGAAACACACAGTGCCATACAGGCGCGAGGCGATGGCAATGCAAGTGCGTAAAAAAACCCAATGCAATTTTACAGCGGGTATATGATCAAACGAAGTAAAACTTGAAACATAAAAAGCAGGCTGACGAAGCTGCGCATCCTGGCCATTTCTGCAGTATCGTGCCATACGAAGAGTTTAAGCAGGGATACTGCGTCTAAACACCTTGATTCAAGCATCTGCAGATGCGACTGTGGGGCGGTCGAAGATAAAATGCACGTTGAGAGAGGTGATCCAATGGATCACCATCCACACTTGCAGCGCGCCAGAGATCTTCCATGCCATAAATACCAGGGGCTTTCACAGCTATGAAGCACAACCCAATAAGCAGGACATGCCTCGTGAAACGATGTCTACTTATGATATTGAGCCAAAAGATGTTAACATGTGCGCATAACAATAGGCTCATTCATACAAAGCCCGAAGCCCGAGAATTAACAACAAGCAGGCAGAGCAAACACGTCCTTGGAAGGAGTAGCTGAGAGAGGTGATCCAATGGATCACCATCCACACTGGCAGCGAAGCAGAGACCTTCAATGCCATAAATACCAGGGGCTTTCGCAGCTATGAAGTACAACCCAATAAGCAGGACATGCCTCGTAACACGATGTCGACCTATGATGTTGAGCCAGTAATGTTAGCACGTGCGCATAGTAGAAGAATTATTCATAAAGTTTCCGACATTTAACCTACTAATATTTTATAAGGACGCATACCACGCGACTGCCTTTGGAAGCGTCCCTCCATGTCGTGCAGTTGGTTCCGGAGGAGGCGCGGACGCCATCCATACGTCATCGTGTCTTGACCATTCTCGTCAATTTTTGCAGATTGTTTTATCGCAATTTTACTGATCAGCAGACGCCTGTCAGAAGCATGGCTGGAGCTCCTGGAGCGTATGGCTTCCGTGATCAGGAGCATGAGCGCACACATCACACGCGACATCACTTAGTATGACATGGCATAGCAACTTTCTAACCCAGTCTGAACGGTAGCTGGATTTGATAGTCCTCCTATATAGCAGTATCCTAATTGCCAATCATTGCGGTGCCCTAATCTTAATCCAATACCAGTGTACTAATCGTAATCCTGGATATAGGTATTTATCCTAATCCTGGGGCCGGGTCCCAATCCTAATCCTGGGGCCGGGTCGCAATCCTAATCCTGGGGCCGGGTCCCAATCCTAATCCTACACTCGGGTCCTCATCCTAAACCTGGCCTCAACTTTGTATCCTAATCCTGCCCCTCTTTCCGAATCCTAATTCCTGCCTGACCGGTACCCGAACCCAATCCCTAATCTTTGCAACCCTCTGCTCATGGTTGCAATAACCAGCAGACGCTCATTACGTTTCCGTGTTGCGATCACGACGGAGCCAAACGAGTTACGCACTACGGAGGTCCTCAATGCGACAACACTGCTTGCACGTTATTACATCCCTTACGTGCCTTTTGCTTACAATGCCGCACTCAGTTCTTCGAGCCTGTTCAATTGAAAGCCCTCCTTAGCCAGATACTGTGGATAAGGGCTAACTTCAGCTGGCCATCCGCTATACCCACATCCTTCATAGTCTGATCCACCTGAAACCTGACAGAAGGCCTATGTCGTGCACACATGCAATCGGTGACCTAGCGTTAATAAGGCCCCAATCCTGATGACAAGCGTCGCTCCTCAGCAACCACTGCCTCTCCCCAATTTCCTTGCCAGTGTTCCTGCCTACTGCATCATCAAGCGCGTGTCCTGCAGCTGTCCTGCTACACAAGCTGTGCCACACGTTGCAGACTAGACCAGCCACTCCATGTACCCGGCTTGGTCACTTCCGTACCATTGTACTTCCGTAAACCAGCCCACCAAGACGCAGCCTACTCGGCATGCTACATGAGCGGCAAAGGTTGTTGGCTTTGGGACTCTGAGGAGGGTTCCTGCCCATACGTGGATCCCAAGGGTGACGGCGAGGCGTACGAGGGCGACTGCAACGACAAGAATTACGCTTTCTGCTACAGAGGCT